TAAGGTACAACAAGGCCATTTCTGTCCACCGCCCTTCTCACGGAACCGTACGTGGACGTTACCGCTCATACAGCTCCCAGCCAGCAAGCACAGTTAGCCTTCCTCTACAAGAAATGGAAATGTGGATGAATCGAATGAAATCGAGGAATTCGGTTTTTCTTTTCAGACATGATAAGTAAGAGCATCCCTTTCACAAAAACCTACGGATCCCCCTCCTATCCTGCCACTTCAGCACCTTGTGATCTTTGAGAAGATCATTACGAGCCCTTTCCTAGAATGTTTTTGTAGATTCCGAAAATTCCAGAGTGGATCAGGACGAGAATGAATCCGGGAATCCAGGGCATACTCATCCTGGAGCTTCCGCTCTCCTCTGGGAAGGGCTTTTTTATGGATAGAGAGATGAGTCGAGGGATTGATTACTCGACTAAAAGGAGAGGGTAGCCTCCCGTTTGACCGATTTCTCGGAGTCGGAAGAAGATCTCTCATCTGATGACCCTGAACAAGAAGGAGCTGCTCTCGATGTGAGATCAGCAGCAAAAGAAAGAAGAAAAGGGCCATGATGATGATCCTATGTTCGTTTTCGCCCTGCCCCGATGATGCGCTCCTAGCTCGCAGAGCATAAGTCAGCGCAAAGGAGAGATACATCCTTTAAGACTGTGAAGAGAATCCTTGGTTTGACCTACGGACTACGTGGGAAATACGAGATCTAGGCAAGCCGCTACATGTTCTCCCCCTTGCCCTTGAACGATAGAAGAACTACTTATCTTCTCTTAGATAGCAGTCGATCGGTTCGCATCTATGGTCAATCAATAGGCCCACGGATCTATTCTTCTATACGAGAAATTGCCATCTCGTAGCACCACAGCCTGGGGGTAAGACTAGAAGAGGAGATTTGCTTGGTCTTCTGTGCGGAATCTGCTTCCTAATCAGTGTAGCTCTTGGGTCAGCTCACAGCTAGGACGTCATCAGTTCTAAAGGATTCCACCACTAGGGAGACTCTCTCCTTATGGGCAAGGGAGGCAGATTTTGACGGGGAGAAGGATTCGGAATATAGTTACATAAGTCCCCTTCCCTCTCCTCAATATAGTTTCACTCGAGTCACGTCAGTACCTCTCCTTTTAGTCGCTCGTCGAGACCTCATCAACTAGTTAATACCTCCGGACCTCTCCTTTATCAGTCGAGTTTGTGTTCACAACCTCTCGAGAAACAAGTTCGAGAGTTACGTCAGTACTTTCAATGCTCTCTCTATTCCTTGCTAATCAAGGCCTGCAAGGGAACTGGCTACGACTATAGGCGGGACGACATGCTTTTAGCTTCCCTGAAATAGGCGACTTGCTCGCTTTGGCAGGAAGTATTTTTTTTGAAGAATTGAACAAAAAAAACTGAAATTTCTGTAAATCATTAAAACGGGACTTTCTTTAAAGAAAAATGGTCTCTCAGGCTGGTTCAAAGCCCTATTTTAGATAATAGGAAAAATCCCATTTCATTCGGGTTTTCTATTCTGTCCTTATCCCCACTGAGGGAAGTAGCTAACCTAACTTCATATTATGGATTAGTAAGGATCCACTGGGTGGGAGGAATCAAACTCAACGTTGCGAGCTCAAAAAGTGATCCTGGAAGGCCCACGGGTAAGCAAAGATTCTAATTCGAGATTGGCAGAGAAACGGCCCGTGCGAGCACGAACCAAAGGAAGGTGCCAAGCCGAAGTGTACAAATCTCATAGGTCTATATCTGCTCAGTCTCTGTTAGCAGCTTCAGTAGGATTCTGGTCTTTTCTTTCTTTCCTGCGAGTGTTGAAGTGGGGAAGTCCGGATCAATCCGTCGAAAGAGACGCCATCTCTCAGTCTAAATGGAAGTAGACCAAGTAGTTTCATAGGAAGAAATGTGAAAGTAGGGGCTGCTAAGCGCCCAGACCCATGGGAGGTGAGGTGAGATAGTCAATGAATGGGGTGGTAGATTATGGCGCAGTGTCAATTGAGAAAGCGATTGTGACTCTGACCTTCTTATCGGCTGCTGGTCTTGAAGTCTCGCTAACTACTTGGATACCTTCTCTCATTCCTCGGAACGAAAAAGCGAGAGTACATTCTCCTTTTTAGTGCATTTCAGCTGCGTCAGCAGTTTCTTCTTTCTTATTCCCTTTCCTGTGTTCATTTTCAAGTGGTGGATAGGATGAACTTACTGGCCGTTGGTCCTTCTCTTCTCTTTCTTATTAGTAATCTTGTTCAAGTGAGAGGGACTGACATCTTCTTTTCATTTCTTTCATATCTCCCTTGATTCTGTTTCAGTTTGAAGTAATAGGGAGGCTTGCAGACCTTACAATTGTCTTTGTTAAATACTTTTATGACCGACTGACTTGAATCTGCTTGCCATTGGTCCTTATCTTATCTTTAAGATAATGGTAAGAGTGGTAATGTAGGGCTAGGGGTATAGAATGGAGAGCCTTTGTAGGCCGATAGGTTGATTGAGTCAGTACACTTGACGTATGCTTCTAGAAAGAAAAAGAATGAGATTCAGCTCTGATCACCACCACCGGATGCATTTTTCTTGATCTTCTCGGACTCCAGTAAAGTTTATGCGTTGGGCCTAGAAAGCGGTAAACGTCAGCAATGAGTGCTTCGATTGTATTAAATTCTTCTTCTCGATTGGGGAAAGTCCGTTACATGCTAAGACGCACCAGATCTATGATCTCTATTTTCTACAGAATCGTCTAGCGAGAAAACTCTTTCACTAATCTTTCTTCTTGGCACTTTCGGTCTTCTGCAGAATAGTAGCATTGCATCGTCAATTCACAATTGATGTGGAGAGCTTGTTCAAAGAACTCGAGTCAACACGCCACTCTGCACCTTGTGTGAGCTAGACGAAGAAAGCACAAAGTACTTACCCTACATATGCAGGAAAGAAAGTGAACTATGGATACCATAGCTACTCGGGGCACTTGGCGTCATTCTCACCCCTAATGCTTCTTTCTATTCGGATTTTATTTGAAGGTTTTTCTCCGGATTATATTTTTTTTATAAAATGAAAAAAGGGGGGCTTTGTTCCCTCGTACTAATAGCTGAACAGTTGTAGAATTAATGTGGTCAGCATAACACAAGTACTCTTCGCCCGTTGTGGAATCATGCAAAAAAGAGACGAAAAAAGACGGGTTTTGTCAACTTTTTGACACTGTTTAGACATCTAACAGCCAGAAAGATAAAGCAGCTTTGATAACTAAGAAAGCAGTCTATGGGATCCTTTTTAGCAAGAATAGCAATTGGATTAGGATAGATGGCATGTCTCATTAGCCGGCACTGGCTTTCGATTCGGGGAAAAACTAGACTAATCCGTGTAGGAGAAGTTTAAGTGGAAGCAGTGGAGGCAGAAGGGCGAAAATCCCCACCACTCTCCCTGAAAGTAGCTAATTCAAAGCAGAACGAGAACAGATGGCTTGCACGCTCTACCTTTTCATCTCTTGCAACATCTCATCTGCAACTATCACTTATCGATTTCTTGCACCTATATCTTATGTTGGGTACAGAAAGGGATCAAGAATAGGGTGGATTCACCAAAGGGTATTGACACCCCAGGGCAAATCACACCTCGACCTGCCTTGGGCAAAAAAGTCTCCGTGCGGATCACCTAGGGGCAACTCGTACCGGCTTCTAACAAGTCGAAGAAGCACTCTTTCCTTCAGTCAACCCATCTCCTTTGGTTTAGTGGAAAGAAAACTCTCCTAGCTGAGTTGATGTACCGATATGAAATCTCCTGCCCCTTCAACCTAAGGAAGTCCGGCAGTACCCGTCTCATCAAAAGCCAGCAGTACCTCTTTCATCAAAACAAAGGCCCTCAGAATAAGCGAAGTAAACCGTGAGTTAAGCGTCCCTCGCGTTTACCGTGAGAAGAGTTTCACGCGGCGGCTAAACGCACCTATTTTTGGCAGCCTATTCGTAGACAAAGAAAGCCGATTCGCTAATCCTTATTCCTTTACTTTGAATTAAGGTCTTACCCGAGGAAGAGGGAAGCAAGCAAAGCTTGCCCCGGATCGTAGGGGAAAGAGTGTTGTAACCGAAGTAGACTACCGAACGGGTGTGGGGGAGAATATCGTCAAAGATTGAGCTAATTCGAATCCCTCTCACAACAAGAGCTAACCGTAGCAGTCTAAGGCCGAGATGAATCAATTCGAAAGCTGTTCTTCACGTTTATGATCTGAAAGACCCGGACAGAAGAGTCATACTACTACGGAAAGGGAAGTGAAAGCAAGCCTGTAAGGGGAGGGGGAGGGCAAACTTCCGACATTTCACTGATTTCTCCTTATCTTTAGGACATTGCTTTACTTGAGGGCATGCTCGTGTACCATACGCTTTCATCGATGGAAGCACAACAGAAGGTGCTTCAATCTTTCCTATGGGTATTCTGATGGGCGGGGCTCGGGATTTGATAGTAAGCATGAATCTAAGGAGATCTTGCAGAGTAGTCAGCTGGATCTCGCTCATGTCTCTATAGCACCTGACTATGTCGCCTATATTTAGATTGGCTTTATTCTCTCTGAAATTAGCAGTTATATCATCCACCAAAGATATGGAGGTTAGAAACGCAATTGCCCTGTGATAATGGTGTTCTTCCACACCAAAGCTCCCACTGCAAAAGCGGTAACCCCATTTACCAAACCATGAATGACCATAAGCAACTCCATGCAATAGCCTAAGATCCATTGACCTCTTTTGTGATTCATCCTCCAGAGTTATTTTCCTACAAAAGCAACATTAAAATCGCTCATCATAAGAGATAAACCGAACATTAATCAGGTTAACCCAAACAAACCGACAAGTTATCAAATATCGTCAGATTTCAAGCCAACCCAAATTGGTTTCTCGCAAGAAGGATAAACAGGTCTATCCGATTTGTTTATTTTCCATCGAATTACTAACCTAGCATCGTTTTTTTGGGGTAAAACCTAACTTCGAGTTTTAGCAATTTTTTAGGGCAAAACTTACCGAGTATGCAGGTTAACACAAAAACGATCCCAAAGATCCATAATCTCTCTCCCATGAAGGTGCTTGGACCCACCTTCAATCCCATTGATACCGAGCAAGTGACCGAACCCGTTCGAATGGACCATTCCATGCAGGTCCGGGTCAGTGGATCTGTGCCTTACCCGCGGGGGCTTCTCATTGAGTCATTTCCGTAGTCAGGGAGGGATCGATATCTTGGTCCATGGGCCCATTCTCAATTAGTCTTCCTGGACTATGTTTCTTACCCACCCGAACCATCCCTGCTAGCATAAAAACAAGTTCGGGCAGTGAGTCACATGTTGGAATGTCAGGATGTGGAATTTTTTTATTGAGATTAGATTAGTGATTAGTCACACCTACCGTAACCTATATTGGTAAGGTTAAGCAGCTGACTTAGCCCCCGTCTTCTTAAGGAGGTCTTTCTCACAGGACGGAGATAGGTTATGCAATTATGACTTATTCAAGAGGTCCTCCCTTCCCTACTGGAGCGCTAACTCCTATTTTTTTGTAGAGAATCCTTGTGTAGTGTATTCTACTGGTATAGAATCTTTGTGCGCTGACTCCTACGAATATACCGAACTAGTCCATCCATTTTGATTCGATTCACTGTTCCTCGTCCAATCCCTCTCGTATCAATCCTTCGGATCTGCCTTTCCCTGGGTTACTTTTGTAGCTGTTGTTTCATCCCCCTATCTAACGAGGGAATTGAGCTGGTGAATCACAGCTTATTTCTCGAGTGATCCCTTTGTAAGTGTAGCTAAAGCAGGGGCGATAGCCCCTTTTTAAATATCTTTCCTATCTTTCTTACTTCGTTTACCAGCTTGGAATATCACTGATAACCCTTCATATGTCATTCGTTGTTATCTGTTGATTTCCCTGTGTTTGCCGATCACTGATGTAATGGCTGTTCCGTCCTTTCTTTCCTCTGAGTTGGCTTGCAGACCAAGGAGGATCAACGTCTCATTGTATTCCAGTTAGTTTCACAGCTACCCCTTCCCCTACATCTTCTTTCTTCTTCTCTGTATCTTTCGCTGTTGGCCAGCTTGAATCGTAGTTTTCTCTTATGGGAAGGGCGGACGAAGCCACTTTCACTTTGGCAAACAGGAACCAGCCAAGTAAAAAAGAAAGGTGATGGGAAATTTCCAATTAGATCGAGATTCTTCTTTCTTCTTATGGATAGAGGTTAGGTTATCTTTGCCAGCTCGATGCCACAAAGGTTTCAAATGGGGATTCCTTGGTGCCGTTTGCTTGACTTGAGGTCAGTCCTTTCAACTAGCCTAGACCCATCATATGGGGAGCTTTAAATGGTGCCTAGCCTTTCGAAAGGAAGCCTGTCTGTCTGTTAGTATGGACTATAGAATAGAATTCTTTTATCACTGCTAAGCAATAAGTCTCAGCTAGGGCACAGGAGAACTGAGGTCGGGGGGGGTGAAATAAGATAGATTAGCAAACTCGTTCGATTCCAGATTGGCGAGTCAGGGGGATCTTATTACCAAGGATCGATCAGGGATAAAGAAAAAAAGGGTTCCGGCCGGGCTAAAGGTTTCAAATCAAGGTGTAGGTGGGCATATCCATGTTTGGGCATTTCACATGATGAGTAGAGCGATGGGTCTTCCTCTTGCAATCGAGAGAGGCAAATAGGCGGAAATCGGTACACTTTTAGTACGGTGGTATGCGAGCAGCAAAACAGTATATGCAATAAAGAAATACGAGCAAGCTCACTCATCATAGTACGGTAAATAAGCACAAGCAGCAGCAAGGAAAGAAAGCCAGCTAGCCCTTATAGTGCCCGAAGCGAGATCGGAGTAGGAAGACCATGAGCGGAAAGGCGTTCCTCGGGACTGACGTGACTCTTCCACTTGACCGATGAGGTGAAGGAGTGAGAACTCTTACTATAACAGAAGAGAAAAAACAAACAGTTCCCAAGGAAGAAACAGTGAAACACAGCAAACAACCCGGGAAGGATCTATACACTAATAGGCCTACTGGCGTTCCTCGAAGTACTCCGGGATATACACCAGGGCAACTTTGAAAGACAAGTTAGCAACCGTACTACTGGTATGAATTGAGTATTGCAGACTAGTGCTAAGCCCATAGCAACAAGACTGCTATTATCAGATAGCTAGGACTTATTCTACAGCTCTTTCACACAAGGGAACGTATGGGGATATCTAAAGAGAAAGTTTCTAGTTCTGACTTCCTGCCTTAAAAGCAGATTCAAAGAGACAAGATCCAATTCCTTCAGCCTATTCACAGCGGATGAAGTAATAGCATTGTACAATTATAACTTCATACCTTTTTCTTGCTTTCTTGTTCTTAAGCCAGTTACATACTTTATTCGCCCGAGGGGTTCCTCCTTTTAGTCGAGTATGTAAACAACCTGAAACTAATGCTTTTTCCCTTTCTAGCTTTCCACCATTAAGACTTGTTGACTTCCTACGCTATTCGATTCGCTGGCATGTCCGGTCTCATACGAAGGAAAGGCTGGATGGTCAGTCACTCATGAATTCCTTCTCGAATCACTACTGGAATATAGCTTATAGAAAGAGCAGCTTGAAGCAAGTGGCAATGCTAGAAGGGCATTTCTTTCCCGCCTACTTGAGTAGCGCGTTGGATCTATGCTTAGGCAGCTTAATCGAGACTTCATATACGTAGATTGCCATGTCTGTATCCGAACGAAAAGACCTTCCTGATGTTCTTGCCCTATTTAAACCCCGGGCAATTTCCAAAAGAAGAGAAAACAACCACCTCGGAACAAATATCATGCATACATAGGAACCCGGCTTCGCTAACCTTTCTTACTTAGTCGTGAAACAACTGTTCCCATCGAACGGAGAGAGATAGTCAAATGACAAAGAAAGGAAAGCAGACCTCGGAACGCGCTGCACAGCACGGAACAGCCATTACATCAGTGATCGGCAAACAAAGATAGATACTTAACAGCAGCTACAAGCAACAATAGCTACACCCGCCTAGGGACCACTCCAGAAGTAAGCTGCGATTAACCAGCTCACTTCCCTCATTCGATAGGGAAGACAACCTGCAGGGATACATGCATGAACAGGAATACTGCTACGCTTACCTACCTGACCATTCATGCAACAACTTACTCACATACCAACAAGGGATATGAATTCTACTGAAGCTGCAAGCAACAGGAACTAGTGCCGCTTAGCTACGGTAGTTCGCAGGCCGTTCTTCACTACCTCCATACATGCTTCACACAGAAACAACTGCTGTGCATACACAGAAACAAGGCAGCTATGCACACTAACTAACCATTCCTATCGATAGAATACAAGTAATGGCAGATAGGAAGGATAGTATAAGGTAGGGACAGATAGATAGAATAATACGTATATAATCAGAAGGCTGCTTAGAGGAGTGATCTAGCTCTCTAACCTCTAACTATCACTAAACTAAACAAAGTGGAATTGAATAAGAGAAAGAGATTCGTTGGATAAGTTGAGAACAAAGTGGTTCACAGGTAGCTCAGATGGTTAGAGCAAAGGACTGTAAATCCTTGTGTTAGTGGTTCGATTCCACAACCACTGAGAGCTCTGGCGTAAGTTTCTCATCCTGAGTTGTTTGATGAGCCTGCGTAGTATTAGGTAGTTGGTTAGGTAAAGGCTGACCAAGCCGATGATGCTTAGCCGGTTAGAGCAAAGGACTGCAAATCCTTAGAGGACTCGAAATCCTTATAGGACTGCAAATCCTTAGAGGACTCGAAATCCTTAGAGCAAAGCCAAGGACTCTCCCGCTAGTGATGTTGCTGATCCAAGTTGGCGTTCAAGGAGAGCGAAGATGCGTAGGTGGAAGGTGCTCAAGAGGCGGACGAAGAAAGCGTTTCAAAACCCGTTATTGAAGACTTCAAGGCAGACGAAACAAAGACGAAAGGCGAAGGAAGACTCCGTAGAAGGAAATAAAGCGGGCGAACGTTAAGGCCAAGCCGCGAAAGTAGCCGATGCTGGCTTTCAGCCCGTATTCCTTTGAATATCCATGTCTTCTCCGTGTTTCCATGGATGGACTGGGATAAGAAAGGATCTGGTTTCAAGCGCTTTCATCCGAAATGACAAATATCATAGCTCTGCAACTGCGAATGCCTAATTTCACATATTTCTTCGCTTTCTCCGAAGAAGTAGGATTCTAAAAGATAGAGAAAAGATAGACAAATAGGGAGGAAGGAAGAGTCAGGTATACGGTAGGCGCGGAAAAAGGAGAACTACTTCTATGGGAACCAGTAATGCTGTTCCTCGAGAGTCCAGATAGTCCAGATAGTCCAGGTTCAGTCCCTCATCATAGTCCGGATAGTGCATAGGTCCCAGCACTCAAAGGGAACGAAGAGGCGTCTGTCATTAGCTCAGAGAAAGGAGAAGTCGTTAAGGATATCAAACTCTAAGGTTTCAAAGTCTATTCTTAGACGTTATCTGTTTGAAAGTCTAAGTACTATGGATATATTGTTTGAAGCACTGGATCAGATGTTTCTAAATTTCATGGATCAAAGGAGTCCTATCCGGTTGGTTCAAAGGGTGGTTAACCCAGGTCTAATTCAACCCCAAGCTGCTGCCAAAGTTCCTAAAAGTGGAGATCTGTTGCTGATATTGGGATGTCACCGAGAAATGTCTAAATCATGGTTTCTATACTTATATATATGGGGGTTCCACTGGTCAAAGTTTCAAACGAACGAAATGCTTTCCCTCAAACGAATTAAGAAAAGGTTTCCCCTTTCGCGCCAATGAATGAAGAAAGGGTTTCCCGGGCAACGAGTTCAGAAATGCTTTCATCAAAAGATTCCTAGTACGTCCCAATAAGGAAGATGACGAGCAAGCTACCTCTGTTTTTTAGGCGAAGAAAAGCTTGGGAAGTGTCGTCCGAGAAAAGCTACGATACGAAGATGTCGTGCGAAGTCAGTTATGTGATGAAAGGTAGCCGACTCAAGGAACTAAGGCTGAAACCAATGTCCTGAATTCTCAACTATTTTCTTTCGTCATTGGAGCTACGAACACCAAAGGCCAAGTCCAATGCCCGGAGTTGGCTGCCCGGGCCCTGCTAAATGGTCCCTCTTTTCTCAATCTATGGCTGGTGATTTCCAATCCCGCTGATCCGATGACTCCCTGATCCTCTCTTCCCCATCCTCCGAGGAATGCCTGTGATTAGCCAATCAATCTTCTAGATCCGGTGATCCATATGCCGGGAAGAGTTCCGTCGAGGAAAGCAACCTTCTTCCTTGATATTGATGCCCTTTTGAGAGAAATCCTCGCTATATGAAGAGAAAGTATCCAATTCCTAAACGAGAAAGTATCCAATTCCTAACCGAGGAAGGAAGCATAAGAAGGAGCCCGACTAGCGGTGTCAATCAGTATTCAGACGACCTAGGCCTCGGGTGAGGCGTGATGGTGTTCGACTAAACGGAAACCTTTCCTAATATCTGCCATTGTGGGGGAACCTTGGGTTCAACTTCCGTATTGAGATCTCTTTCCTTCCATGATTTCTTTCAAAGGTAGCCAAGGTGTCGTGGGAAGTCGCCGAAGAAAGGCATCTCGGTCTCGAACCAAGGTCAAAGAAATAGTGGGAGGAAGGAAGGGGAAGGACTTTGCCATGAGATTCCTTGCTTGCCTTGATTTGCTCTTCATCTTCGGAATTGGCAACTGTGAAGTAAGAAGGATAGGTAGCAAATCATCTTTCTTTTCCACCCCGCAATTCCGAATCATGGGATCCGGGAAGAGAAAGGGTGGTCCTTGACTTTCGAAGCCACTCCTCATTGATTTGTCCATTTCTCGATGACAGAGGCTCGAAGGGACGCATCAATCAAGCTATCGATAGAACCAACCGAATGAGATCTCTATCCTCACGCTGTCTTATTAGACCTATCAAGGAATTCCAATACACGAAAGGAATCAGGGAGAACCCGTCCTCACTATTCATTAGTTATCGCGAGGAAAGAAAGCCGACTTTCCCATCAGGAGACCATTCAAAGCCTGAAAGAAGAAGGTTGACTCGGCAATCTCAATTTCGTATGAGTTGATGGTTGACTCATGAAAGTGCAATGGAAGGGTGAAAGCTTGCCTGGCCCCCCAGGTTCGTAGGAGAGGTAAGGTAGTCAGGTCAAGCAGGTCGAAGGTCGAAGGTGTGCTTTTCAGGTCCTTCCGGTTGTTGGTACGCTAGGCAGGTACGGTAGGTCTTTTCGTTTCATTCAGGGTCGGTTCGTTTGTTTCTGGGTGGTTTCGTTACTTCGGTGTAAAAATGGACTCTTTCTGGGCAGTCGTTGCGTTGTTATCAATCCAAGTTCGAATCCTTTCCTTCTCAAATGTCACTTATGTCACCTGCTCGTATGGCACGAGGAATCCGAATACCCGGCCTGTAAGCCATCTAGCCCCTTTTGACTTCGTAAGACCACATGAGAAACCAAAAAGTTTTCACTCCACCATGGCGAAAACCTAGCAAGGCCCTTTGACTCTTTGGATGACATGAAAAAGGAGAATCTTTCATCTCATATAGTGGCAAAACCATGCAACCCAGTTTGACTCTTTGGGGACCCATCGGAAAGAGAAATGTTGCCTTCCACCATGGCGAAAACCTAGCAAATTTGATCATTTTTCCACGATTCCTAAGAGTGAAATTCATCGATAGCCAAAATACCGGGAAAATGCAACTCTTCACTTTTTGTTATGATTTCAAAGAGTGAAAACATCGGCAAGCTCAAAACACGGGAAAATGGAAATGCTCTAAACCGTAGAATCACAACAGCCCTTCTCTTAGGGCAACAGGGGAACAAGGAACCTGGGAAAGACCAACACAACTTCCTTGACTTCCTAGGCTTCTATGCGGAGAAGGGTTTTAGGAAAAGAGGAGAACTAAGAGAAAGAACAAGGGAAGCAGCTTCCGTCTGTCATGACTCAATCTATCTGTTGATATGCTGTCCAGGGGAGGTATTCTGTATAATAGTACGAAAGGCATCTCCTATGTCTTCCTCAGTTTCCCTGTCTAGCTAGCGTATAGGATTACCGGTCGAAGCTATAGCAATGCGTAGCGTCCGGGAAGCCTTAGGGAGCGGCTACTGCTGCTTGCTTTCTTTCTTGCTCTGACTGGAATAGGAATAGATAGTACAAAGTCCAGCATTTGATTGATTCCTTTCTTTCCTGTTGTTGGTAAAGCAACTAACTTTAGATGGTCTGCAAGCCTTCTCCATTCCTTCCTTTTAGCATCCCTTTCCGCTTCTCCTAGAACAAGAGCTACTATTGAATTTAGAGTTCTTTCAGAGTAAGTAGTGGAAACCCTCAACCTCAGCCTTTCGCTACTTTTCTACAGCTCAACCAGTAACTGAGTCGACTATAGTAGCATTTCATGCGTCACCTTCCCTATGAAACTCTTGACTTTACAGTAGTTGTGGCATCCGCTTCCCTTTCTGAGTCTGATTCCGATGCTAATTATCCAGTTGATGGGGAATTGACGGCCCTTTCATTGACAAGTAGTTCATTCCACTGAAGAGGGAATGCTTGTAGCTAGAAGAATAGCTTTTGCAACTAAATCATTGACTTTCCTAGGAACCTCATTGACTGATGTCAAGGTTGAAGCAAGAGCAACTAGGAACAGAGACTACTTTCTTTCACCGCAAATTGCCTTTGATGCAAAACCATATACCGATCCTGTTAAGTCTTGAATTGACTTCTGATGTCCTGGCTGCCCCTTAACCCTTAAGCCTGAAAGAAGAGTGACTCGGGCAGGGGAATAGGACATTCAATTAGAAGGAAGAACTTTCTCGCCTGTGAGAGCATGATAGGATAGGACGTCACTGTCTTTATGAGGGTGTGACGCTATGGACCCAGCAGGGGAATCAGTCTATCTAGCATCCCAACGGACTTCTCGCTTTCTTCTTGATATAGGAAAGCATCCATGCGGAGTCTATAAGAGAAAGTCTATGAGTGGGTCAGTGGAGAAGTAAGCAGGTCGTTTACAGAAGAGAGCGCGGAAGCAAATGAGTTGACAAAACCAGCCTACCATGTCCAGCTTCAAGAGAAGTTGCTGATCCAATCATCATCCCAGTGATTAGGCTAACTACAACCCTTTATCCCGAAATAACCTTCTTCCTAGTCGAGGAGGGGGACACACACTCATTCATAGAGAATGGCTCACTCACTCTCTTGACTTTAGAGTAGGGAAAAGACTGACTAAGGGGGCAGCTAAGTTGGACAGTCTCCTTATCGGTAGCAATTCCCCTTGCCTTTTTTTCGTTCTCATGGCTCATCACATGTCTGAGCTAAGAGTTGGTATGGAGCTTTCACAAACACTAGCATTCGATGCAGCAGACTTCTACTATGGCGCGCTAGCCTTGATTCAATCAAATATCCCGAAGAAGCTTATACCTTATAAGAAGGAGTTCTCGGTTCACCAGTTGTAGTCGGAGAAAGAGACGTGGCAGACATTGATCGGTTCATTGGGACCGGGCTAGCAAAGGTGCTAATCCTTTTACGCCACACCGTGTAACATCTGCCTTCATAGCTCAACGGATAGAGCGCTCACCCGCTAAGTTAGGGGTTCTTGGTTCGAGTCCAACCGGGGGCAAGCACAAAAAAGGGAAGGGCCGGGAGAGTGTTCCTTAGTGGGAAGCGGGGGGTCTCCTCCCTTTCAACCATGTCCAAGATTTCTTCTCAGTATCGTTCTGGAAACTCCTCACTGAGCCCGATGTCAAGATCGAGGGAAGAGCTTTCTTCTGTTTCGTCCTCTACCGACTTCCCTAGGAGAGAGATTGATAGTGATAATATATGAAAGCAGTATCAATTAGTATCCTGTAGGGTTTCAAGGCATAACCTCAACGGGTGTTACCAGCTTGGGGGAGGTTTCAATACCAGTCTCCTCCTATGCTCTGGGCATAGCAAGAGGAAGTCTCACGACCCTCACTTGTTCTAAGAGTCTCATAAACCTTTGGACCATCTTCATTGACTGGAAGATTCTTTCAAACTAGGAAGGCTTCTTAGAGCTAGGCTAGTCATACGAGCTTGCTACGAGAGTGAAACGCACTGACGTGACTCGAGAAAGAGATGACTCACAAGTTCACGATACGATAGAAGGGATCCCCGATCCCGCCCGCGGTCAGGTGATCGACAATCTGATGTGTACCACGAAATCATTTTGATCTGAATGTGGTCCAGGCCTTTATCCATTCAATCAAACTTGGGAAGTGGTTAGAGAAGCAGTAGCTACTATGCGAGTTAGATCGCTTGCTACATTAGATAGGATTGAGAACAAAAGATAGAAAACATTTCCATTACAAAATCCAGTGCTAGAAAGATAGGTTGAACTCGGCAAGGCAAGAACACTTTTCATTTTTCTCACAAGAAGAAGCTGCTAAGATAGGTTGTTCAAGGTGAACCAAAGATAGAAGTCAAAGGTCTCCTTGGACTGAACTTAGCTTCAAAGTGGCAGTCAGAGCTAGGACAAGCGGATAGCACGAAGATTGATTAAGAAGAGGAGCGAAGCATCAATTGCAAGATCGGTTGCAGCTTTTTTCAACAACTTCTATACCAAGTTAACCCCGTCGGCGCTACGCTTGCTTTATGGACAGGTCCTTCCCTCACTACAACTGCAGGGAAGAAAGAAAAGACCAGAATCCGACTGAAGCTGCTAACAGAGACTGAGCAGATATAGACCTATGAGATTTGTACACTTCGGCTTGGCTTGGGTGATAGACTTTTGAATAACGTTTGATAAAGCTTTCGACTTGACATTTGATTGAACTACAATCCCAGTATAAGTTTTCGACTAACGTGAAGAGAGGTGGTAAGCCACAGAGAAAAGAAGTAATTAGCAGTGTGCTGGGTAGATCAGTCGAAAGCTACGACTCTTATGGTGTGCTGCTGAAGCAAAGGATGCTTGCCTTTGACCTTTCTCTGCTGTCACGGAAGACATATCGGATGTAAGGACTTGATCTTCTCGAATTCCTAGCGAAGTAACCAGGGGTCTTGGGCTCTCACATCTTTTCTTTTTGATCGGGCGGCGCCTTAGCGACACCACGTTTCTAAGGAGGCAGACTCTTTCAAGTAAAGTTAGTTGCCCGAGATCTGACCTGAACAAAGGAAAGGAGACGCCTAGCGAGAATGGAATAAGAGACGTTGGGAAGGCACACCAACAATAAGTAAACTCTTCTTCGACCCCTGTGCGAAAACGCTCTAGCGCAGCAAAACCTAATGCCGCCCTTAGGGATCCAATCACTAATCCCAACTATTAGAGAGTACCTTCCGATCCAAAGTCTGTGCTGAGTTGAGCACACTAAAGGGTCTCGCCTGAAGCTATGAAAATCTTTATCTCGTACGCACAAAAGCAACGGGGAATCCCAAACAATACAAAGGAGAAGCACCCTATCTTACATAGATACTTTCTCCTGCCTTGATTGGCTAGCTCGTGCCTTTCCTGACAATGTGCTTGTGCTGGAATGAGGGCTTTGCTTTCTATTCGACTTAGTCAACAGAACCGTAGTTGATGATACCACCTAGATCCAAAAAGTAATAAGATAACTTTTCTCTGCTTGAGAGGAATCCCAAGGATGAAATGCCAGAGGCGTCGCGGTGAATCTATCTCATTTTGGTTTCTCCTTTATCCATAGGCTGCTCATCGCCTCTAGGTGGAGTCTACTTCAAAAGGCTGCTGCCCACTCCTCCCATTACTAACTCGTCTTTTATCTGTCAAAGAAAGTGCCACTTACATTCCACCCTCAGGGGCTCTTTCGCAAGTAGATCAATCCCCGGCCAAACCTATAAATAGGGAGATCCTTGGGCGAGCACCAGCAACATATGTTCGAAGCTCTTCGTGATAGGCCTGCGGAGTAGAGATAGGTAGCTGGATGCCCACACCAAAGTGGGTTGATTAGCTTCTGCTTACTTCTTTCATCCGTATTGGTTGGTCCCATTGCCCTTTCTCCCTTTCTGCTGATGCTGCTATCCAGTTGATTAGGAACGGCCCTTTGCCACTGCTGCTTTGCTTTTTGACATTCTTTTTGCTAGGCTTTAGCACACTCCTAGTGAAGCACCTTTGCTTTTCATGAGCAGCTTCCTTAACTGTTAGCCACATTATATGATTTGTGTGAACACATCCCTATCGAAGCAACCCTGAGTAGCTGATACATCTGTGGTGATTTCCTCAAAAGCACACTCTGGGTATTAATGGCATAGCCCTAGCGCAGCAACTTCTTGATCAATCATCCGTGGGATCCATCTCCGATTTCTCTTTTTCCTAGTCATTTGCCGTTGACTACTTATCGCACACAGAAAGAAAGTCAAAGGCCAGATCCTCTAGATTCAATTGCATTTCTCATAGATTCCCGATTTGAGAAAGGTGGTAATGCCGAGCCCTTAGCTCAGGTTCTAATCTCTGCTTTGAAGCTGCTCTTCTTATCTTTTTAGCTGTGTGCTGCATCTATGGTCTGTAGCACAAACCAAGCTATTGTCCTGTTGAGATCCTCTCCTTTTACTTGAAAGCAGCTTAATGCAACTCTGGTTCATTGGAAGCGGGATCTAGGGACATAACTGGAGCATACCCTTAGCGCAACAATTTTCATGCTGTACAAAAAGCGGCCAGCACAAGGTCAAGGAAAAGACTGAGTAGTACTACTTGGAGATGATCCTGTCGCGCATAATTAGAATAGAATAGTAAACCGAGAATCCTCGACTGAGGAAAGCTATCGGGCGGTTCCTATGTGGTGAATAGGGATATATTTAGTATTAAAGACATGCGAGTGCTCCGTTCGTCAGTAAGCGAAAGAGACTGAAACCTGGGAGAATTCCGCTCTGTTAAGAGAGAGAACTAACGAAAATTGGAGACTGACGGAAGGAAAGGGGTTCCCCCCTTCTCCTTTAGGGGAGAAGCTTGGTTCCTCTTTCTCCGCTGAGAGGGGAGAAGCTGGGTTCCTGCTTGTATGAACCTTCAACACTTCAATTTATCCATTCTCTATGATGTCTCGAATGAAATAATACTTCACTGCAATATGCTTGGTGCGTTCGTGGAACACACTGTTCTTGGACAGACAAATAGCACTCTGAGAATCACTCCTTCACAGGACCTTGCTTGTACCCAAAATCCTCTAGAAGCCCCTTTAACCAGATATTCCTTCCTTCACTGCTTCAGTTAAGGCCATGAACTCAGCTTCTGTAGTTGATAGAGCTACCACAGATTGAAGACTCGACTTCCAGCTCACTACATTTCCTCAGCACACAACAGTGAAAATATAACCAGATATAGACCTCTTCTTGTCAGCACACTCCTGCATAATCTGAATCACAGAATCCTTGTACCCCAATCTCCTTATCGAACACCAGATGAGTATCCACAGTTCCTTTGATATATCTAAGCAACCACTTAACTGCAGCACACTCCCAATGAATATGTCCTGGCTTGCTCATGAACCTACTTACTAGACCAATCCCATATGCTAAATCTGGTCTAGTTCCCACCATAGAATACATAATACTACCCACTGCTGATTGATAGGGAGTTACCTCTGTATCCTCAGATTCATCGGCTGATAGCTTGAAATGAATAGGGGTTAAGGCCTTCTTTGCATCTGACGAAGACCACTTTCTTCAAATAAGCAGACTGAGACAACTTTAGAATGCCCTGCTTCCTGTAGCACACTCTGTAGATGTCCATACCCAGAATCCTTCTAGCAGCTCCTAAGTCCTTAATTTCAAAGGTTTGCCTCAACTGCTTCTTCTGGATCTCTGACATATCCTGCGACACTAACAATCATCAACATATAACAATAAGTATATGAAATTACCTTTGCCAACAGCCTTAGTGTAGACGCATGAGTATCACTTCTGCCTCAATCCACCATGAACTGGTCAAAGCGCTTGTTCCACTGCCTAAAAAAGGAGACTGCTTCAGGCCATAAAAGCAGGGATTTATTCAGCAGGCTTATCCTTCTTTGACTTCACTTCATACCCTTCTGTGTGCTGCTGGCTCATGTACAAGTTCTCTTCTTCCATGTAAGAATGCCACATCCATCTGCTCCAGTTCCAAGTCAAGATTAACTACCAGAGTGTGCTAGAGAAGCACCCTTATTGATACCCTACAGGCTCAAAGACCTCTTGGTAGTCTATTCAGCACACTGCTAGTTACTTCTTTAGCACACTGAGTGAATCCTCTTGCTACCAACCTTGCTTTGTACCTGTCTGGTTCCACAGCACATCCATTTAACCCTGGCTTCACCTTGAATAACCCAACTGATGACTTTCCTGTAGCACACTGGTGGTTTATCCACCAGAAGACCATGTACTTTAGCAGAGACTCCATCTCTTCATCTGCTGCTTTGCTTCTTGCCACTTAGGCCAGACTTTGCTTTGCCTCTGTCAGATCTCTTGGTTCCTCCACACTCATCAATTCTGACATGGATAAAGCAAACATTACTTCTTCTTCTTCATCGCCAACATAGTCTGCTAACCTTATTATATAATGGTGTGCTGCACTACTACTCTCCTTGGACGATCCCTAGCCAGCTGGTAGTTGGTAAGACTCACTCTGGCTGGTTCAGATGAAGTTGAGGATTGACTTTCATCTTCTTCTAAAAAACCTCTACTTCTTCACTTTCATCTTCACTGTCATCCTAGCACACTCCTAGCGAAGCAATTTTTCAGTCGAGTCCAACACACTACGGTGTGCTGCCTCTCCTTTCAGTCGAGTTCCTTCGGACCTCTTCTTGATGAACTCCACCTGGAGCTGAAGTTGATTCTTCTCTTCTTTGAACTACTGGTTCTAGGGAGATGTCTCTTGAAACCTTCTGCCTTGAGCCATCTGAACCTTCTTTACTGGTTGATGCATTGCTATACTCTGCAGGTCCTTGTACACTTGCTCCTCATGGAATCTCACATTCCTACTGACCACACACTTCTGTGCTAGCACACACCTTCCAATAACCAAATCTTGTATCCCTTGGATGGGTAACCAATGAAAATGCCCTTCATTGCTCTGGGCTTCCCTTGATCAGTGTGAACGTATACAACAGACCCAAACTTCCTCATATGCTGATAACCAGGTTTCTTTCCCAACCAGACCTCTTCAGGGGACTTGAAACCAATAGATGCTGATCTATTGATAGTATATACTGAGATAGCTGCAGCCTCTGCAGCACACCAAAACAGCTCTTCAAGTCCTGATTCATTTAGGAGGCACCTGACCTTAGCACACTCCTTCCGAGTGATTGTTCTGTTCATCCTAGCACACTCCTGCTTTTTCAGTTAAACAAAGGTAGCATACTGCTTTGAGTTGCTAAAAGGCCTCTCAGCAACTCCGCTGTGGAGTATAAGTGCAGGTCCTGTGTCTCTCTATCCCATGCTTCACACAGGCCTTCCTAGAGACTTCCTCAGATATACTGACTATCAAGTATTTTCGGATTCGGATTGGAGGTGGCTTGGGCCTTCCTCCTTCTAACTTCGGCTTTCTGGTAGTGGGCGTGCGACTCCGTTCCTCTCCTGACAGTGTCCGTCAGTACCTCTCCTTCTATTGCTGTGAGTGTTTCCTGTTTGAAGTGTTTCACCTGCCTAAAGTGTATGAAATGTGGCCTCTGTCATAACTCTAGACTTTCCCTCAGGTTTAATAAGAGTCTTCCTTTTCTTAAAATGATAGACTGAAGTCAGGTTTAATAAAGAAGTTTCAAATGAGGCAAAGAAAAGAGAAGTCTTGTGATTTGCTTAACACACGCGATTTGTCAATACTGTCCGAGTGTTTATCCGAATACTAAAGGTAGCGAAGAAAAAAGTTGTGATTATTTGGGTGTATTGTCGAGACTTTGTTGAGTGGTCGTAACGTCCGTTCCGTGATCTTGTTGGAGTATAGTCCTAGGGCTTCTGGGTTGTCTTAATATAGAATGTAGCTCCCAAAACTTCAATTCGAGGAAGAAAGTTTTGATCTGTGAAACCCTATTGTAGTAGAGTTTGCACCACTGTTTCTCTTTTCCTGAGAATTTATTCAATTATATAATAATAATTCTGTTCTGTCGAAATGTGTTTGTTGTATTTTCCTACTTCTCTAATTGGTGAGAGCATTATCTTTTGTAGGACGATGCTGATTGGTTCGAATCCAATGGTAGGCCTGGGCTCTCCTACGCAGGAGAATCAGGCAAGGTATGATTTCCTGCCATGAGCTAGCGTTCCTAGCAAAACCATCAGCTAGGTTGGAATTTCCTGCTTGAGCTAGTTTACTAGCAAAAATTTGACCGTTCCACGGGACTCTCAAGAACTCGTAGACTATGGAACCCGTTCCAGGAAAGCGCGAGAGTTACTAAATACCTAACCCCTCTCTGATAAGGTAATAAACGAAAGAATCTCAAATTTATGAAAAATCTGGTTCGATGGCTGTTCTCCACAAACCACAAGGATATAGGGACTCTCTATTTCATTTTCGGTGCCATTGCTGGAGTGATGGGCACATGCTTCTCAGTACTGATTCGTATGGAATTAGCACGACCCGGCGATCAAATTCTTGGTGGGAATCATCAACTTTATAATGTTTTAATAACAGCTCATGCTTTTTTAATGATCTTTTTTATGGTTATGCCGGCGATGATAGGTGGATTTGGTAATTGGTTTGTTCCGATTCTGATAGGTGCACCTGACATGGCATTTCCACGATTAAATAATATTTCATTCTGGTTGTTGCCACCGGCTCTACTACTATTATTTTTCGCCGGACTCGCGGTATTCATCCCGCCCTTGGGCAGTTTTTTTTCCACTTTTCTGGAGCGGCTACCCCTGGCTCTGGGCTATCGAGCACTGAGTTGTCTTTTTTTGAAAATAGGTTTCTCCGGGGCTCTATCCCTACTGATCTTGCTTTTTGGCAGTTTTATGGTAACGAATGAGATGATGCCATCTGGAGAATCAAATAGTACTGCCAGCGGAAGCTGGGCGGATTATCTCATGTCTCCGGAAGCGGATTCTGGCGCTATCACGTCGAATGATCGGGAAAGGGAGATTTCCCTAGCCCCCCTTCCTCCAGAATTAAGGATCCCATATCCGCCCCAAATTTCCTATCCGCCGGCGGCGCTTCCTCCAGAATTAAGGATCCCATATCCTCCCCAAATTTCCTATCCGCCGGCGGCGCTTCCTCCCCTACCCGAACCTGGCTCCCAGGACCCGGTTTCTCCCCCTCACCCCCTGATCTCATTCTACCGCAACATAGAAAAAGCGGAGTCTTTTTTCGCGGGAAATATAGAATTAGCAGAGAATCTGGATCGAATCAAGGAGATGCAACGCGCCCTCGAGGACGAGCGGGATCCCTACCGTGGGCGGGAACTGTTGGAAATAATAGATTGGGAGGTGCGGGCGCTGGAGGGCAAAGTGGCGCGCAATCACGCTTGGAATATGCTGCGAAATCAAAAAGTAGGAGTATGGAGACAGTGGTTTGATCATGAATTAGCAACGCAACGGGAGAATGAGGCCCGCCTAACCTTGCTTAATTCATGGCTCCGTGTACTCATCCACACGCGGAATCACCAACCCCCCCGGAACTGAATCAGCTAGCTCTTTTGGTAGGGCTGCTCGGCTTGCTGCTGTTGCATCTCTTGTAGCTAGGGCAGCTCAGTCAGGTCAGGTAGTAAGGTAGTTTCTTTTTGGGTGGTTTCGTTACTTCGGTGTAAACTTGAGATTTGTCAGAGTTGGCTTCGATTGAATTTGCTTAACACTCGGATGTCCAACTCATTCTAGTCAATCCAGCACACTCCTAGTTAGTTTCGAAAGATCCGAGGGCCAATGAGCCTCGCAATGGGGTCAGGTACAAATGATTCAAAATCTAACGTACGACTCCGCTTGGCCGGTCCTCATTACCTCCATACATGCTTCACACAGAAACAACTGCTGTGCATACACTGAAACAAGGCAGCTATGCACACTAACTCATACCACAACCATTCCTATCGATAGAATACAGGTAATGGCAGATAGGAAGCAGCACTTACAGAGGAATCCATACACCGCAGGGATAGAGATGAACAACAGGAGGATAGCTCAAACGAAGAGAAGAGATATTCTAGACAGAAGCAGCCCTTGAACCGTACTTAGCTGCACACAAGGAACGCCTGTCAGTTGGGCTAAAGCTCTAGTCTTTCGTTTTCAGGACTGTTATCACCATCTCATCCCACCGTATCCAAGTTCTCTGCTTCGTGCTTGGCAGCTTGGTTCTAAACCTTCATATGTCTCTTCTGTTTTTTTTGTTCATCTCTTTGAATACAATAGGAATAGGGTGAACTGGCTTAGCTGCTCGGAGAAAGGCTTTTCCTTTACGTCGAGAAGCATGTGCCTTCCACCTATCCTGTACGTATAGCAAGCAGGGCTAACAATTTCAATAACGCATCGGGCTGCGAGTGGAAAAAGAAAGTAGATTGAATCTTGGTAATTGAGTGAAGAAGTTCTCAGCGAAGAACAACCCCTAAATCCCGGAAGTATGGAATCGGGATTCGATCTCTTTTGCTCGAGTCATAAGGTGTGTACAGACAGACAGGCTTCCTTTCGAAAGGCTAGGCACCATTTAAAGCTCCCCATATGATGGGTTTAGGCTAGTTGAAAGGACTGACCTCAAGTCAAGCGAACGGCACCAAGGAATCCTCATTTGAAACCTTTGTGGCATCGAGCTGGCAAAGATAACCTAACCTCTATCCATAAGAAGAAAGAAAAATCTAGATCTAATTGGAAATTTCCCATCACCTTTCTTTTTCACTTGGCTGGTTCCTGTTTGCCAAAGTGAAAGTGGCTTCGTCCGCCCTTCCCATAAGAGAAAACTACGATTCAAGCTGGAGTAGATAGATCGCCCAGAGTTTGACCTTTTCCGATCCTGTTTCTATTCTTTCCTTCCGAAAAGGAGTAACTCAGAGCTGAAGTGGCCGCAGCGCTTATGCCTGCAATGCGCGATATCTCATTTGGCGTGGGGATCAGTCCTTTGGTTCAGCTAAAGAGTGGATACCCTTGCTTGACTGTGAGGGAATCCTCAGTACGTCATTTCACCAACCTGCACTGAAAGGGGTAAGCAGTACTCTCTTTCGAAAGAAGCCCTCCGTCTGTGTGCTGGGTTGCTTCGCTAGGGAGGAGTATTACTAATTAGATTGACATAGACTGGCCAAATTACGGCTAGAAGAATAGAAGCACCCTTGTGGCAAGAAAAGAAGACCGGGAGCCAAAAGCAGCAAGCACTCAGCAAGTTCAGTGATGGATGATCAACATCATCTGTAGCCATTGCACCTTCAATATCTTACTAAATCAAACCATCTAACTGGTTTACCCGATCCTGTGTGAATATGGTGCCACGCATTCAAATCTACTTATCAGAATTACGACCACCGAACCGATTGAGATTCCTCCCGTTGATGAGGAGAAGTCTAATTGATGAGGATGAGGAGCTCCAGAGGCCTCGCTGTACTGGCTGGGTGTGCTGAAGAGGCCAAAGGAGAGGATGATTTGGAAAGGTCACCTATCAGATTAACCAAAGGTTGGGATCGAAATGGAGAGCAGATGAATCGGAATCGCTGTAGCGCTTTCTAGCCCTTCCCTTGCTAAAAAACTCATAGAAGGCATTCTCTTTGCACAGGTATTCACAACTATTTTGAGTGACAGCTTTACTCTATTCCTTTTCTGATCTGAAAGAAGAAGAAAGCTACTGGCACACTCTAAGGCGGTAAAGCTTTCTACTCCAAAAAAAAGCGCAGCAACCTTCGGGTTAGCGGTGAAAGCCCGCAGCCAAGCCAGTTGAAATTCTCTTGCAGAAAAGAACTTACCGATCATCACTAGCGCAGCGGATTGCTCTTTAGTTAGGACTGCGTTCTCTTTAAGCCATGGAGAACTCTCTCTCTACTATCAGGCTAGCTAAACTCCTCTTTAGCACACTCTGCAGCACACAACTGCCTTCCTTCTCTTGCTGCTGTTTCAATTGGAGTTGCTTTTGCTGTCGATTCAGCCACTAGGTCAGGTGCAGAAGAGCTCTAAGTGGAGTACCGGCAGTTCGTTTTGGTGAGCTTTGAAAGGTGCTGTCCCTGCTTCTCTGACAAATCTTCCTATCTTTCTTCCGGGATGAGCGGAGTTTGATGTTGGGGTAGAGCAAGACTCTAAAGAGCAAAAGAAGGTCAATTATTGCTGTCATCTCTCGACTTTCCAGCGGTCTCCTGAGCCAATACTCTAGCCGGTCAAATTGCAAGGATAGTTGAACCAGTCAGCTAGATGAAAGCTCCAATGAAGTGATAGCTTGCCTCTTTCCAACCAAAGCAGTTCAGTTTGTCCATCCATTAGCACGCAGCAAAGGAAATAGAGAATAGGGAATCACTCGATGAAGACCTGTAGATGCGGAAATAGTTACCTTGAGAGGGATTTCTCGAAAGACCAACCAAAGGGGAAGGGAACTTCACTACCATTGAAGGGCTTCCTTGAATTCGAATTCGCACAAAGCTAAGTATTAGAGCATCGGAACTCAACCTCCGATCGATTATTCTTTCCTCTGTTCGTCGGTTTCCTCGCCGTCGAACCTTTCTCTTCCTTCGCAAAATTATTAGCTTTGTTAATTCTTTATCTTCAAATCGATCTTCGAATCTGCTCGGTGGTTGCTCGCAAAGGAATTGATCTACTAGTGTGCTGCCGGTCACAGCTTCAGCTCGCCTGAAGCCTCATCCTAGCGAAGCAAGTTGGAAAATCAACCGATCCAGTTGGTTTCTCTTTGCCGGAGCTTCCAATTTCATCTCTTCTGGATTTCATTCACTTATCTAATGGTGATAATCCAGGTCTGTGCTGTCCCGAAGTGATCTAATTTCGATGATTGGCGTATCGCAAGCTTTGCTAAAAACAAGTGTGGATGGATCACTGCCTAGACCTAAGGAAACTGATAGTCACTTTCGAATCTGGTCTCGCTCAATGGTGAAGTCCTGGATTATGAATTCAGTTTCTAAGCAGATCTATTTTGCGATTCAATGATGCATCAGAAGATCTATTGACTTTCATATCACCAATCTTTATTCACTTATCTCAACAGGTCACTCCAAGCAGGATCTTGGTACCCACTTTGAAGATTGGGATGAATTGGATGGAGGTACTTATGTTTGCACAGGCTACACAGAAGAAGACTGATCCAAATTTCTTAGCTGGTTTGAATGAGTCCTATCCGTAGCCGGATCGAAGAAATTCCTACTTTGGCAGAAATCTATCAGGATGCCAGAGAACTATCAATCCGGTCCAGAATGCATCTGCTTTCCATCTCTCAGCTCAGGTCTGTCAATGCTATCTACCTTCAAACCAAAGCAGAACAGGCCTATTTGCTCTCATTGTGGGATGGTCAGTTGATACCTGCTAATCCATGGCTATCCGATTGGCCAAAGAAACCTCTTCTGGATAAACCTTCTTACACTCCAAAGGCAGCTCCTGCAAAACCAGTGGTTGCTCAGCTCACGCATTCTGCTTCACCAAGTGCATCTTCTCCTTTCTCTGAATGCAGACCTTAAACATCTCAGAGCCTTTTCTCAGCTGCTTTAGCTCTCAGCCTCAGCCTTTTGCCAATACATCTGCTTCTTCTTTTCTTTTCTTCTTCTGGTGGGACTATTACTGCTTTACCTGGTTTCCACTTCCTTTCATTGGTATTCTGCGTGCAAATCATCTCAGAAGGTGATTCTCCGACTTTCTTCCTAGTGATAGCTGTTCTTCCTGTCTTAGTTAGAGGATAATAAGTAAGGAAGTAAAGAAAAGACTGATCGAACCAATGAAGTAAGGCTTTTGAACACTACTTTCAAAGGCGTTCCTCGGGCGAAATTCTCTTTCCTCTCAGGCCACCAGGAGCTTCTAACGAACCAGGTCCGATGGTTGGCGTCCAGTGTGACGAACACCGGATTTCTCCTTGAATAGGAGGCATCATACCCAATTACTCCCCCTTTAAGATAGTCATTTATTGTGGCCTAAACCAACTACTGTGGTGCCTCCTTTGGCAACACAACCAAAACACATTTCTTGTGCTCAGTCGTGCGGGAAGGCTAGTAAGACCTCTCCCCACCGAGGTCTGCTGCTATTGAATCACCTGTACTTGAATATGTAGATTCTTTCTCCTACTAGTGAAGAAGATTGCATGCTTGAAGCAAGATCGATATCTCCCGAGGAACGCCTGTTTACTTTGAGTGCGATACAGCTACTCGACCGCCTGCCCTTTCATATGGATAGAGGGAATTTCCCGCTCCGGAGGAACCATTTTTGTCACTTTCCTGCCTGGCAGCGGAAACCTAGCACAGTTTGAAGTCTGTGTCTAGCCGAGTTGCGACATATCGGCTAGAACCTTGCAGATTGCAACAGAGGGGTTCCTCCAAGAGTGAAACCTGAGGAAAGGGAATGGGATCTTCGAGACAAACAAACCAAGCTTCGAAGCTGTTGTTTAAGGAGCGGCACCGATCAGTGCCTTGTTCCTGTTACCAGTGTCTTGTCTTGGTTCCTTGTGCCCATTGTCTCCTAGTGTTTTGTTGAGTTTACTGTGTCGATAAAGTCCTTTTTATTCGAGGAAGTGTAGCCTTTTCAATTACAATTCTTTTATTCGTCCGAGTTTACTGTGCCATTTCGAGACTGTCCTTCATCCGAGGTATCGTGTTTATTGTGCCATTTATAGACATTGAGGACATTACTGTGTTGTACCAAGCACCAATAGTGTGAGGATTAAGCCGTTATTCTATCTTCCTTCCTTCGCTCTAACGGGTGGATTCGCTCTAACAGGAGGATTCCGCTCACTTGGGGTGGAGTAGCGTATGCACCTCTCTTTCTTTGTTGCCTCCGGTGTGCTACCGAGCCTTTCCCAGGTATTTACTTACTGCCGGTTTACTCCACAGCATTGCCATCTTCTTTGTTTTGTTGGTATGAGCTGATCGGCCCTCTCAAGCGTAAAGTAGTCCTCTGATTGTGTTGTATTGGCTCCTTAAGCAACATTTGTTTACTTATGACCGGGTGCTGCTTATGCCTAGACATCTTCCCCAGGAATTCTTCTCGAAAGACGTTGACCTATGGTAGGTGCTGAGTCCAGCACAGTTGTTCCTTTGTTACTGTGCCATTTCGAGACCTTCGTCCGATCATTGTTCCTTTGAAGACCTGTCTTTTATTCCTTCTCTTTCCTTGCAGTAATTAACTCACATTTATGGTAATGCTGATGCTTGGCAGCTTCACTGTTCCTTCTTGTTGTGCGTAGGCTTGGCGTTGTTTACTCCATCGTGCTATCTTTGTGCTGCTAATCAGTATATTCTTTGC